TTTTTTTTACGCCGATTGTTAACCCATGTTACGCGAGAGAGCTTTTAACGCAACTTTGTTGCCGCAACGGTCGGCCACGGCATGTTACACGAGACGATTTTTATCGCAGCACTGTAATTTTGGTCTATAATGTTGAGGGTCTTTTAATCACTTTCAAAAACCTGCAGCATATTGCCGCAACGAAATGTTACGTTAAAAGTTGCCCTGAGCACGATGTTGCACGACATCGATTTTCAACGCAACAATGTTGGGTTAAAAATCGTCTCGTGTAACATACCGTTGCCGACTGTTGCCGCAACAATGTTGCGCTAAAACTTGTCTCGTGTAACATGGATGAAAAATCAGCGTTTAATAATGGCTGGTGTAACATCACCTTTAAACAAATGTCCTTATTATCTTGGGTACGCCAGGAACACCCAGATACGGTCCTGTGGACTACACTGGAGTACTTTATATTCAGGGCAGAGACGCCTCAGACTACGTTGGCGTGGTTTTTGGCTATCAATCAAACCGCAAGTTTTATGTGGTGATGTGGAGAAGAGAAAACAGCAACTTCCAGGAATTGAATGATAGGGCAGGAATTAAAGGCGTTCAGCTGAAGGTGTGTTCGTTGCATGGCAACAATGTAGTCAGCTACTTAGCTGTTCATAAATTTGAAGTCAGACACCATAGGGAGCTTGTAGAGCTGACTGTTTAAGCGTAAGTCCTTCATCAGAGCTCTCGCATAGGGCTAACGGTCAAAACGTCGAAGTCTGTCACTTGCTCCACAACGCAACACCACAGTTTCTAGATAAACTAATTATTTTCCCTGCCTTGCTTAGACTTCCAGTCATTCTCATTTGTTCGTCCATGTCTGTCGATTTACTCGTCTGCTTTTAAGTACACGTAAGTAAAACTTTTAAACATCATATGGTAGAAAATAACACCAAACGAAAGCACTGCGCGATACCCCTCATTTTGTATGGTCACCCACTTAGGTGCTATCGACAGGCTCAAAGTCAGTACATATTACGTGAAAGTACTGGTCAATCAATATTATTTTTTTTTGAGATCCCCAAAATTGTCTGTTGTCTGCCGTTTTGAACCATTTATTCAGAGGCTAGAAAGTAGAGAACGAACTCTAAAGTACACCGGGAATAACCCTAGTTTTTCCTCCTACATTGTACTGATTAGCGGTTTTATTCGCTTTGTGTTTCTTCATATAGCTTGTCGATTCCAACACGGGACCTGGGTCCACGTTAGCCCAAGCACTATGGCACTCTGGGGACACTACCAACCAGGTAAGTAATTCGCTTATATACCTAAAGGGAAATAAAAACATTTGCGAACCTTACTGATGGAAACATTTGTATTTCTTCCAGGTTAAGCTCTTATGGCAGGATCCCAATATGGAGGGCTGGAACTATCAGACTTCTTACGCATTTCATGTCACTCACAGACCTTCCATAGGACTTATCAGGTATGAAATAACAGCCACAATCACTGGTCGTTAGACAGTGGAACCCCACCAATACGATTACTTGTAAGTGGGACCGGAATTTGTTGGATCAAACTTGCAAATATCAGCCCGAATTTTTAATTCAAATTTCGACCGACAGGTCGCACAAGCGCAGTTCATGACATTGTCTCTGTTGCGATAAGGCGTTACTCCACTGTTATGAACTCCTTATAAATGAAAAAGTTTGGAAATATCTACTTTATGGCTA